TGGTACAACTTTTCTATAATATAAAATATAATTTAATAAAAAATTAAATTACATTAAATTAAGATCATATTTTTCTATAAATTTCTTTAAAAAGATATTAAACTTTTAAAAAGTATCTAAATATTTTTGTAATATACAAAGACAATTCTTTTACTTCAAATCTATTTGTACAAATAAACACTGTTAAAAAGAAATTTGATATGTTACTTATAAATTTTTCATGAAACCATCACTCCAATATACCAAGCAATCAAAATAACAATGACCCTGAATAAACTTTCATTCACCAATGTATTCAAGAACCAAAATATCATTAAATACTTCCTACAGAGGCAATCAATGAAATCATTCTATGTTAGAGTACACCAATAAGAAAATAAATTAAATCTCAAACTACAAACAATAATCCCGAGAAAACTGTCAACATTACCAACCTAGAAAATTCACCTAATTGAAACAAATACAAGTTTAACAATATACACGAGAAATAATACCAACCTAGATACCTATTGACAAATAGCTACAGAAATAATTGAAAATTACAGGAACTATGTGCACATTTACATAGATGGATCAAAATCCCCTTCTGGTACTGAGTATTCTATTATTACTCCATAATCCATCCTTAAAACGAAACTTCCAAATGGAACATCAATTTACTTAGCTAATAATGAGAGCTAATGGTTATTAACCAAGCATTCCAAACAGTTCTTGCACAATCATATAAGCTAATTGTAATATTCACAGATTCTAAAAGTACAATAATATTGATCAATGGTACTACATCATATAACATCAACCATTAAATGTTAGAAATGGACCAAAAAATAATATCAGAAGGAAATGAAATAAAGCTCATATGGATCTCTAGTCATCATAGGAATTACAGGGAACAAAAAGCAGACCAAGTAACGAAAAAAGCAACCAACTTATCAACAATTGAGTACAATAAAATGTGCCTACATGATACACTAAAAATAGCAGCAAACAAAATTAAATAGCAATGGGAAATAAAATGAGAATGAACAGTACCATATTGTTTTAAAGATATAATTGAAAAATTCTTCAATAATAGTAAAATAACTACCAAACTATCTAAAATAAATCAAGTTGCAATCAACCAAATCTAAATAGGTCATATGAAAATCACCTATGCATAACTGCTAACCAAAGATCCAGCACCATAATGTAAGGCATCTAATGTACAAATCTGAATTGACCATGTAATCAGTGCCCAAAGTATAACATATTACAACCAAAATATTCACTGAAGGCAAACATCAAACACAATTTGAAAAATAGAAAAGCTGCAACCTATTCCAATTCATAAAAAACACTAAACTATTATCAAAGATACTATAGTTACACATAGGATACACTTACTAAAACGCCACTAATAACCTATATAACAATTGATGTAATATTAAACTAATATATAAAAAAAACAAAAAATTTATCATGTAACTTATCAACTGTAACTAATACATTTATGTTTTCACAAGTAACATAATATTTACATATGCCTATTTCACACAAAGCAATAAATATAATGTCATGTAATATCTATGTAGCAGTACAAATGTCTATACGTAAATTTGATTGAAATTAAATAATACATAATTGAGTTAGAACACTATATTAGACAGAAGGATAGGACAGATCATTGAAATATTTAAACTGTACCCTTAATGTTAACTAAAGATAATATTATTTGAAAAATTTAATGTTGGTGTATGAAACTGATTCATCTACATCTATCATTATGGTCTGATGATTTTCCTTAGAATATAAATAATATAACATTTGCATTTATAAATTGTATGTTAATTTAATAGTAATTGAATAGTAATTTATATATGCAATTTATATGTCAATGATATTATATTCTAATTAATATTTTGGTTCTTTCAATGTAATAACCTTTCAATATAAAAACTTCTTTCAATGTATAATTTCTTCACCTGTTTTATTCTATAGATACTTGAAGCTAATTAAAATTGAATTACGAAGAACAATATACGTGAAACGTTCTATTTTTAAAAAATTATTATCATACTACACAGTTTGTAATAGTTGGGAAAAATCATTTTCAGATAAGTTTTTAAAAATTTTATATCAATTTTTAAACATTCCATATTGTCTAAAATGCCATTTACAAGATATCTTACAATACTAGGTGCTATGTTCTACCCACATATTATCCATATTTTCTGCATATTACCTATATAGTTCCACATCGACTATTATTGTTACCAAAAATATTATATTTACTTTGATAAAAAAATATTTTATTATGTAGTATTGTATCTTTCTAATAATATGTATACAATTTTGTCAGAGAAATGTAATTTCTACATGGTAATTTAGAAAAATATTAGAAATATGATTTGAAGTACATACTATAAAAAATACTAATACTCACTAATACTACTAAATGCAAGCTTAATAACTTCTTGAACTGTGTTTAGCTACTGCCAAACCCACTTTTAATTCAAAAGTAAAGAGATTATTCATTTTAATTCGAATTATTCTTCCTTCTCTATATATTAACTTTTTCAATTTCTCTAAATACATAAAACTTCATTATAATATTGTTTTCAACGTTACTTTTTTTTTTTTTTTTTTTACAATGTTGTAGATTTGTATCTGTTTATAGGAGATACAATTGCACTGTACAATTTAATCTGATTTAGTTATTTCCAAAATTATTCAATTTTTTTTTTTTTTTTGTATTATTAGATAAACATGTTACAATAATAATCTTAAATAATAAATTAGGATGAAGTGATAAATTTTTACTAATAACTAATTTATATAATATCTTTCATCTCTGGAGTATTTATGATGTGTATGTATATCATGATCAAAGTCAATTTATAATAGAAATGATTTACACATATGGATTATCACATTTCTTGTTTATCTTAATGTTTGTATCATATGTAATTGAATTAAAAACTTGGACAACAGTGTGACTATAATTTCTATGTCCTATATTTTGATTAAATGTATAAAGGACTAGAAAAATATGTTATACTATGATAGACTATAGACTTTAGGTAACAAAAATAGAAAAACATTTTTTATTACATATAATTTTTAAAAAATGGAAAAGGAACATACTAAATCTGATATTTGCTTGATTCTATAACTCATATTTAAGCAATTTAATACCTAAATGTATCATTTTTCTCTTGTATATATCTTTTCTTCTCATCCGATAGTAGAATTCTTTATTCGTAAGAATAATATAAATGTATAAAACTCGTTATCTTAGTTTAACAACTTGATAATTTTGAGTACTTTGTATCATAGAATATGTCTTGTAATTTAATACAATTTGTTTACTTCAAATATATGTTGCATGATTTCAATTAAATTTATGTATTTTATTTCGAGATATGCTTCATATGTAATGTATATAAAATGTTTAAAATATTTGTATAACTTCATAAAATATATTATATATTATATAATTTATTAATTTCAATTATGAATTGTTTAACACATAATACGAAAAGTGAAATTATTCATATATATCTACAGGTTTCTAATATAAGTTCTAAGATAGTTCTAAGATAGTTCTAAGAAGTTCTAATATAAATCATGTACAGAAAAATATGTACAAATTTATAGCTTATAATATAAATCACACAAGTATAATACAGATTTAAATTTACAATTCTTTCCTTTTACAAGTAAACTATAATTTGTTCAAATATATATATATATTTGAAATTTATATTTATACCATATCCTATTTATATATAGTCACTGATAAAAGTATTCAAACACTAATTTCATATATTTTACAAATATATACAACTTACTTAATAATTTTACTGTAATAAAATAATATTAAAAATTGATTGAAATTTCAACCATTTCCAATGTTACAAAAATATTTGAACACTTAATAAATTAAAGTGTAAATTGTTAAAATAGAAGAGTCTCTGGACTTCAAGCACTGCGTTTTATATTTTCTTGATTCCATAACATATTTTAAACAGTTTCACATGCTAAAAATTATTTTTTGTTAATAATACACTAAAAATTTTATTCCTATCTTAGATGAATTTAAAATTTTTTTCTACACTGCATTTTTTTTTTCTTTTCCATTTGAAGGCTCCACTTTTTTGTATAAGAATAGTCATATAACTGTACAAATCTTATTAGCTTTATTTAAAAGTTAAAATTTAGAATGCATCTATATATTTTTACAAATTAAAAATTCCTATTTTGTTTATTTGTCTTATAATACTTGGACAAGATTCAGCAGATTTTTCATTTTTATTACAAAGTAAATCAACAAATTCTTCACTTCTTTACAAATAGCTAAAAAATTAAAAATATTATTTTATTACATTTAGTTTATTAACTAAGTAGTACATATTTGTAAAATACAATAAATGTTCTATCAAAACAGAAAGGTTTGGGTTCATTTCTTCTACAATTAACAAAGATATAAATCAATAAAGTCAAATATACCTTAATAACAATTTAAGATACTTTCATCAGAAACTATATATTTACTATTGAGTAGTAGTTAATATTCACTTTATAATTATTCGCTTAATATTCACAAGTATTCCATGTATAAATTTCAAAATAATATATATTCAAATCATGTAATATTAGTTTTAACAGTTCATATTTTAACACTATGGACTGCATTTATATTATTAAAGTCTCTAGACGTATGATCATTACAAAACTACAAAAGCAGGAGCGTGTGCCATTTAATCAAATTCATAAATATTTTTCTTTCAAACTTATTGAAAATTAAAGTTGATATTTGCATTTAATGTTTAAAAATAAGTACTTGATTTTGTAACTACAATTAAGCTACTTTTTATATTGCTTTTTGTAAGAAATAAGATTTTTAAATGCGTTGCTATAATAAAGTCTCAAGTTGTGGCTTATAATAAAATTTAACAGTATTTTTGTTACTTTTATAGATTGATTATTAAAATAATTAACTCATTACTTTTAGTACTTACCCAATGGTAAAATGTCTTGTGGAAATTGCTGATGTATATTTATAGCTTCTTTTATTAAAACAATTAATTCACCTTTGTTATATAATACTTTTAAATATTTTGTATAAAAATTTTTTTGGTCAACTGTATTAAGATCATTAATTACAGATTTAAAAACACTCTCTAATAAATTGGTATATTTATCCAGATTATTAAAATTGTCTATTAATATCCACCCAAGTGTTTTATCAATCATTTTAAGTTTATTTTGATCCAATTCTTTTCGTAACTCTCTTAAATATTCAACGCACTGAATTAAAGTTGGAACATCTTTTACTTGCAATGAAAGCTCAGAAATTTTATTCAAAATAGACGAAAACTGAGTATCACTGAAATTAAATTGAATATTAAATTGAATGTTTTAAATATCAAGTTCAAGGAACATATAACATTTAAGTTTCTGAACACAAATACAATAATTGTTTACCTTTCTAATCGTAAAAGTTTACAGTAGATCAATATTAATTTGTTATAAGAATCATTATCATCCAAATATTTTGTATAGTAGGAGATTAAACCATACCAAGCTATTAGATTATTTGTTTCAATTTGTATAGCTTTTTGTAGAATTAATGGAATTTCTGATTTATATTCACCAACTTTCAACATCGCTGCAGCCAATAATGTAAGTGCCTTATAATTATTTTGTTCCGTATTTAATATTGTTTTACATTTTATAATCGCATCTGTATAATTATTTTCTTTATATGCCTGGCGAGCTTCTTTGATAGTTGTTTTTGTATCATGTGACATTTTAACGTTAAATAGTACTTTTTAAAATAGTATTTTAAAAAGAAATTAAAAATATAACGTCTTAAAAATTGAAATATATTAATAATCTTTGTAGGTTAACGTTTAATTTGAAACGTTTAATCAAGTATTTTTGTAGAAATACCAAAATATATTGCGAAAATATTTGATTTAAAACCTTTATTTAGAAATCAAGATTAAGGTTAGAATCAAACAACTCCGATTCTCGATAAATACACTTCATAATATTTGTTTTTGAATTACTAATTTCAACTTTCCAATCTTTAGAATTTTTATTTCACAATGTATAATTTATATATACGATATAACTTTTTAACTTGTAAAAAATCTCGGAGAAAGCGGTCAAGCTGATTGATCACGTGATGTCAATAATACGCTTACATTTTCTCATGCAATTATAAAGATAAAACATATGAATTGTGATTAGTGGTTTACGAGAGTTTTACTTGATTTTTTTCAATATTTTTGAAAAATTGTTGCAGAGAATCATTAAGACCTTGTATTTTGAAATTAAAGTTTCATTTATAATATACTCTTGGACTATTATATGAGTTGCAGTTTTCGTTAAAACAGATAGAAAATTGATGGTTTTATGTGTCGTTCCTGAAGAGCCACTGAAAAATCCATTATTAATCGTATCTCTAATTCAGACTCTTCCTGTTATTTGGAATAAAAAAAAAAAACTCGACAGAGTTCCTTTTAAGTATGAGTACTGTTACGACTGGTACTAACCCTCCGACTACTAAAGCTCACAGTCCTGTGCCGGGGTCACTTCTGATCCATCCATAAGGATATTTCACTAATTCATATTTAGAATAGCCTCAGCGGCTCATCGATACTGACTCGCACGAGTGACGGTCGCTTGAGACCAGAGTTCTCGCCAATATTGTACCAATGCAGTGATAGCCATACCCGACTCGTATAGGAACTTATATTAGAAGCATATAGGAACGATGAATGATAAAGTTATATTTATTATACATGTATATATTATTATCTTGTACAAGTTTGCATGGCTTGTACAAATTGATCGAAAGAAGAGGAGGAAAAATTGCTTGTTGGCAACAAAGATATTGCATCAATAAATAGAAACAACGGAAAAAAGTAATAAAAGGAACAAAATAAAAGCAGTAAATTAATAGTAAAAATAGTAAAATATTGAAATAGTGCTAAATGCTAAATCTAAATGAAAAATACAAACATAGTATTCTGTCCCGGAAAATGCATTTATAGCATAACTTTTACTTTAATTTCCAATAATTCTAAAGACTTAATTATATTATATTACGACTGTAACTCGGAAGATCAGCCGTACCTCGCCGATCTCTCAGCGGATTAAGTAATAGATCGAAATGTAAAAGTTCAGAAAATTTCCAATTACCAGATCCGACAAATTGGACCCACGTACGACACAGACTCACCAAAGCGACGGACGCGAGCAACTTTCTTGATAGTTCCCACTCTCCAAGCAAACGTCTTTCGGACACACCCACGTCCAATCAAGAAACTCTATTTTTCCTCCACTCACATTCGCCCTTAACTAATCAAACAAACTCGATGAATACCGAACAGGACACGACGAGATATTACAGAAAGGAAAAATCAGTACGTATTCGACACCCATTATCGAAACATTTTCTAAATACTATAAAACTTGTGTTTGAGACGATACTCGGCAAACGTTCACATCTAACTATATAGTTTAGTTACAATAAATATCCACGAACTAGCCAAAATAAATAATCTATTTCTAACCTAAACTAGCGATCCACAAACTATAAACCAATCACGCAGTATTAAGTTGGCGCGTGATACGTTCTTGACAATTGAAGAAATTCAATTGATTAGACGTGGCAAATAGTATAAAATGCTGAATATTGAAAACAAAAATAACAGAAATTATTAAATACTAAATATTAAAACACAATGCTAAAATACTAAATCAATAATAAAAACACTAAAATATAAAATAAACTTTGAAATAAAAAATTGCTTTGATTTTCTGCACACATTTTCCTTCCTCGGAGTGTTACTAAAAACTGATTTTTTTCGACTACAGTCTTCATCGCTTGGTGGGCACTTTGGCGGACACGTGTAGCCAGATAACGTTCATGCCCTAGTGCAATCGTCATTTTTACATTACTGCGTGCATTATTACATTCGAGTTGCTCTGAACACGGGTGAGAAACGATTCTGCCATAGTATGCGGAGAGCTTACTGTAGCAGAAAATATCGTTAAACAAAAAAATGAGGGTTTTCTGAATTTATTTGGTAAACTTTCAGTTTAGCGGCTTTGCCCTAAACGCGTTTTTTTATCCGGATTTTTGTTTTTTCGCAAAAGGCTTTATTTGTGCCCCAATAAGAAATATAGATCGAGGAGCTTGAAAAAGTTACTAATTTTTTGACAAAAAACATAAAATTCTTAAAAACTGCAGAATGCGTGAGTTGATTCTTATGATTTTTGAACATGTTGTGGAGGACGAGATTCTGAAGACCTTTTATCTGAACAATAATTGACGCTTGGCCTTAATTTCCGAGATATTTGCAAAAATTGTTCACACTGTCGCATTGACTCCGCCTGTACGTGTGCCGTGGACGTGTCGGGTCGGTTTCAAAGGATCCAGCACTGTATTTATTTCTCAAGGATGGTATATGTTTCCTTTAGTGCTTTTCTTGACAGAGTTGTAATGAGTAGATAAGGATTGCCCCATCTTAACGTCGGGTGATGGCAACAGTATATATAAAATCGGGTTTGGCTGGAGCGTTCAGGGTGTTATCTGGAATGCGTGCGGAAGGATGAGTGACCGCGCGCAAGAATCGTATGAAAGGGATGTTTATGGGAGTATCGACTTCAAGTGAAGAGTGCAAGTCTAGGAATGCGCCTGAGTGTTTAGGCTACGTGACCCACTGGGGGCAAGGCTGTGAAGAGTGCGTGGGAAAGGCATGATCGAGACAGAGAGCATGAGTATGAAAGAGGATAGAGTGTATGGTTTAAATAACGGTGCGAGGCATATAGATGGTGTAATAGTCGAGACGTAGTGAATAGAGAGGATCGTGTGTTTGAGAGTTGGAATTGAGAGAAATTTAGTGTAATATTTTAATTAAATAAACCTGTTTTATTATTCATAAAAAAAATTCTTTTATCAATTTTTTTTTTCGCGTAACAAGAGTGACCGACTTCTCAGAGAGTGTGAAAAGGGTACGTGACGCGGTTCGCCTGAACCTCAATTCTTATCGAATGTTTATATAAACATTCGTTCTAGGAATTTAGATTGTATAAACTATTTATTCGTTTCTTACATCCTAGGCTGATTTTTGTCCACAACTAAACTAATCTTTTCAACAATACGCATATAAAATATAAGTATAGTGAAGTAAAATTAGGAAATGAACATTCATCGAAAGAATCTGAAGCTTTAGGGATAAGTCTACGCTCTTGCATCTATTTCTTGCAATTGTTTTGTTCGCTTTCTTTGTCACGCGATGCTATATAATCAGGCTAATAGGAAGGGATCATTTCTGCGAGTAAGGTGAGCGCGTTTGCCTCTACTGCCATGGCGTTAGAATGAATGGGTTGGTGAGGATTAATGGGGATTCGGTTGCACGTTTTGCTCAGTGGATTTCTCATCTGCATAGTATAACGCATAGTATGAATACTGTTCGTTGCAGAGAAGAAGTAGGACCGAATTAGACCGAACGCAAAGTTCGATATTTATGCAGTATAAGTGAAAATAATCATGTTTTGCTCGTGCAGTATTACTCTTATATTAGCAGACTTGTAACGTATTATTCGAGTATAGGAATCTTACGGGTTCCTTACACCTATCTCACGCTTGTATATTATAACGTTACTGAACTTGAAGATAGGGGTTTCGGTAGCGTTATAGAAGAGTAGAGACTATGAGCGAGCATGTTAGGCAGAGCAAGTAGAATACCCTCTTTGCTTCTGTGCCGAAACAGCGCGGACTCAGCAATGCATAGCACTTCTCGAGTGAAAAAAAAACAAGCCAGATCAACAGCAGTATTAATTAGTAGTTGCATCTTTGATCTTAATAAAGGTAGAAAAAAATAATAAAGAAAGACTGTTCGTACTGTTATTGTGTAAAGCTCTATCATTACACAATAATGTAACTTTTTTCTCAGGAATACACTTGCAATTGCATTTGTCTCTTAATTAGAGTATTGTATTTTTTCATGTAATTTGATTCTTTGTGTGATAATCACACTGATTTCGCATAAAAAAGTATTACGGTACTATGACAGACAAATTAACACGTTTCAAGGTATTAAGATATTAAGATATAAAGATATTTAACTATTTAAGATATTACATTTTTTATTTAAGTCCGCAATAAATGTAATAAATGTTCAAATGTTTCAATATTATATTGCAAATAATTTTTCACGCAAGTTTTACTATTTTCGTTACATTCTTCAGTTACTGAAACAGGAAAGTTGCGAATGAACCTTATTTTTTGAAAAATCCCGTAAGAAAGGTCAGACAGATTCGAGTCAGGAAAACTTACAATTAGATGCACAACTGGGGATGCTAAACGTTGTCTCCATAAGTTGGAGTTAAGCATTCCCTGTGTGGCTATTATGAGTCGATACTCTTTCTTAATAAAAATGATTTCGCAACATTTGTTTCAGTAGAACGAACGAGTTAAAAGTAATTGTTTAAATGTAAACTAGCAATTGAAAAGTGTAACGAAAGGTTTAAAAAAAATGTCTACAGCTTTGGTAAGAAAATGTTTACAATATAACGAAGAAATATTTGAATATTTATTCTAAATGTTAATAGAAACTTAAATATTTTGAAGAGAAATAATTTTTTCTAAATATCTTGATGCTTTTTCTTCTTGCGTATAGATAGACAAACACAAACACAAACACACATACAACTTTTGGTCGTTTATTGTTACTTGCTCCATTTTAGGTTTCCAGATTTCGATAAAGGCACAGGAATCTTCGTGAATTTTCTTTCGTTGTATGTGCTTCTTCTTATTAACTGATATTAACTGATTGCTGGCGGTTGACATGTCTTCTAGCAGCACATTATTTTAAATTGTTGAAATCCTCGATACGTCGAGAGATTCAATTTTTGAAAACGGGGAAACTAAAAAAGTTAAAATATTAAAAATACATATCAGTATGATATTAAGGAAGTAAAGAAGATATTAATGTTTAGTAACTCTACAACATATTTAATCATGAAATTGCACTATCATCGAGAGAGCTTTTTACTATAGTACGGAAAAGTGTTATTTAACGAAAATTTTGTTGTTTTAATAAAAATCAAAGGTTAAAAATATAATGTTTATATTACAAATAGATAAATAGACAATTGGTATTCAACAGTACCAGCATACTGGTAGCTATTTGATAGTGATAGAATAATAATGTTTTTGGTTTATAAATGTCACGATATAAGTTAATTTGTATAGATTAATAGTGAAATAAGTAAGAAAGTTGACTACTTAATTCAAATTGTTCTTCTTTACGTACGTTATGTGTGTAAAATCGTCTGTTATAAGGTAATGTTGATAAGGAATTAAACCCATTTGGATGTTTCATTAAATTCTATTCCTTCTGCTTTCAATCTATTAAGTATAGGCCGATAAATATCTGGGGTAAATGGGAGAACCACGCCTCGTTGTTGAATTTCATCTGTTAACGAAAATAGGAAAAGAAAAAGAAAAAATGGTTTAATTTGCAGTGATTAAATTATATCATAAAACATCTTCATACAAGTAACGTAATGGAATGAAAGTATAAGGTATACGCATTAAGGAACGTTTACAAGAACTGTACAGGATGAACAGTTGAATGATTTTCAATTCTGTACATATGTTGTTTCTTTGAATATTTCCCTAAATTTGAAGTAAATTGAACGTATAGTTCCTGTCCCGCCCCATTCCGTTGCGAATGTATAGAAGTTTTTTCTTACTCAAGAACGCGTAGGGTGCTCTAGACGTTTTACGGTCTAAAGCTGTTATTGATGTTTCGTAGCCCGAATGTTAATCTGTTTCTTCCTTACTCCTTTCCTCGGAGACGCGATCAAGTAGAAGGTTTTGACGTGTTAGTTTGAGAGTTGGATTGTGACTGTTTGAAAACTGGAATGTGACTCGGTTCCTCGCCTCGGCATGTCGAGGACGCACGCTGATTGATTGTTTAGAAAAATGTTAATTTCCCAATCAGCGGCATTCTAAGTGTCGTGATCACCTCTTCCATGCGCCCTTGGTGCGCCTTCTCCTGCCAGGGTGGGATGACACTTGAGCGGGCGTGAGGTCATGGGTTTTTCCCAAGGGTTACGGTATTCGTCCAGGGCCGATGTGTCGGTAGTTTGTTACCCTTAGCGGGACATCGGGACTGAGCGGGCGTGAGGTCATGGGTTTTTCCCAAGGGTTACGGTATTCGTCCAGGGCCGATGTGTCGATAGTTTGTTACCCTTAGCGGGACATCGGGACGACCCTTCAGAATTACCGAGGTTTATAACATGTCCTTTGGCTATTGAGCGTAGGCGAAATGAAGATTTGAAAGAATATTAGTTTCATTGCCCCCCAATATACCTAGAGCCCAACTTTAAAATATTCTGTCTTTCCGATCGTGTTATAAACCTTAGAAATACTGACCTCACGGCTCATTTACCGATGCCAAGGCGGGATACTCCATATGTGCACCGCGTAACAGTTCCGAATATTGTGCTTCGGTCAATTAAAAACATTTAAACGTTAAAAAAGTTTCAGAAAAAGCAGAAAAATCATATTTATATGGTAACTTTATCGAGAGTACGAGTTAAAAGAAATCGCTATGAGATAACATTCTACATATTTCGAAATACAAGAAGATAAAAGATGAAAAGAATTTTTAAGACTCTGCAAAGTAGTCATTCCCGTACCGAAAATACTCAAGATGCTAACTTGGCTAACGAACTTATTTTTTCGAATACTTAAATAAACCTTATAGACACATATAATATTTCTTATTGGGATAAAGAGGAAAAGGGAGAACTATACCGTCGAGAATCATTTTAACTGCAATTGCTGTCGGATATCCAACTGTGCGTGCCATAGCAGAGTAACCTCGTTTTTCACCGTACAATACTAAATTAATTCCTCTGATTTCTCTTCTATTGTCGGGCCAAAGTATACCAACGTCGTGTCTTAAAATCACAAGATCACGTTCATTCTGATCATAGCATAGTTTCTTCGACAAGTAATGTGTTAGAGTATCGAGAGGAGTATTTAACTTTAGTACTAAATCTTCCTGGAGAAGTCCTAAATCCTCAATTGCCTTTACACTTTCTTCCGAATTCAGCACTTCGGCTAATTTTCGTTTCAAATTCTCATAAAAAATATTATCATTTGCCAAACCAAGCAAATTGCAAATTAATATTCTCTGAAACAAAAAAGAAAAAGGAAAAGAACATGATTACTCGAATATAACATTTTTAACGTTTGGGTATTCATAATTTACATATAGGAATAGATTTGTCTGAACGCGAGCAGTCATATGAAAGTCTTTCTGAGGGAAAGTCTGTCGATAGGACGTAATAATTAAAAAATCTCCATTTCACATGTGTACAAAATATACATGCACACGCATAGTTGATACATTGTAAATCACACCTGTAATATCATCTGATTTTGCTACTACAATTACGCATGTTTAAAGGCACTTGTTACCTATTATTTTAATTTCTTCGTCATTAATTTTGGCATGCATTTAGTAAAAATACAATAATACATTTCCTCTAAATATACATTATCTTGTGAAAATGTAACAAGTTTTTAATCGTCTTCTAAATATTGTCTTCTAACTATTAATCCGTGATAACTCTGATCTAGCCGATACATATAGCGATACATATACCGGTACATATAATATATAAATCCTAGATAGATTTTGATATTTGTCATGTTTTAATAGATAAATACACGGGTAGTGAAATATGTTATATGTATATGTTATACGCATGTATTTATCTGTGTATCACACGTTCCTCATAATAGGTCTGTCTCCGACATACGTTCAAAAGGATAACCTCTAGCGACAACGTAACATAACAGCGTAACGACAAGCGTATTTAACACTAGATTTACGGTATCGGTGAATTTGACGGAAGGGTTGCTCCGATTATACGATGGTAACAGATTTAGTTAACTTATATTAGGACTGTTAATATAATATATAATTGTTTTTAAATTAAACTAATCGTTAAAGAAAAAGGCACGTGGATTCTTTTACCTGTCAATTTGACAGTTGTCCTTAGAAATAGGTATACAGATAGCGTCCATAAACCTAGTGTTAATAAGGTACTTAATAAGTGATTAGTAAGATATCGTGTGAAACTCATTGTCAGTAGTTTGCACTCGAGAAATTAACTTTTACGATTATGTTAAAGAATTATACTAATCAGATCGACGTATCTTTCGAGTATAAACTCCAAAGCTCGGCACAGTAATAATTTATTTCTTTTAATTTCAGCTTGGAACAAATGAATGGTTAGTTTCTAAATAGGCATCGGAAAGAAAAGAACGTAGATAGTAGGGAAATGGGGAAGTACTAGCAGTGGTAACTCTAAGGCTGCAGAAAGATCTCGAATTTGAAGTAAATCAGCTATAATTGGAGTACGCTATGTCCCATTATACATTTTTGATTTAATAACCACGAATAGGTACTTCTCAAATTAATCGCCTATTCTACGCGTTGTTGATAGATTAATTTATCGTTACATCAGAGAATTATCCAGTATTGTCTTTTTCTTTAAAGTACGTTTCTAAAATATGAAGGAAACGTCCACGAGAATACAAAGAAAAATACAAGTCTTCATGTATATAGGGAATGTGACGTAATATGCGGGCCCCAGCACTAGAGTACAGGAACAAAGAATAAAAATTATGAAGGAATAAAGAATATGAAAAATGTTCATATAAACGTATAATATATCCGTCTCCGTTTATGAGACGTAAGAAATTTTGTAAACGGTGCGAATTCTGCATTGCTTTATTTCGTGAACAAGAAAGCCCACTTTTTACAAATAACACTTAATGTCTTTCGTATCACCTTGAACTTGACGGTTCGGAAAATTTTCACACTGGTTCGTACACGGTTCTTATAAATATGATTTTATCAGAGATTTTTCACAATAAGAGAGAATTTTCACAACAAACATTATTGGTACAAGGAAATCTCACACGTTGTTCTACGTTTAAGATATTAACGTCAATTTAGTTTAAACGTATGGGTGAGAATAATAAATAAAAATGTAGTATCGTACTTTTTCTACCATGTAGACGTAGCTTTAAGAAGGTTGTAAAGAGAAAGAGGGTGCAAAGTCCAGGTCGGCTGAGGCAAATCCTCCATATTTGGTCATGTTTAAGGGAAAGATCGGAAAGCGTGTACATGATGGGGAAAAACGAAAAGAACGGTGAGGATTAATAGTATTGGAGAGAGTGGAAGTGTTGGATACAAAGGTGAGTTAGACGCAGAGTTGAACAGGGTGTTAGACAGAGTTGTATAATGTTGAGAGTTGTAACAAGTCAAGTGGAATTGTTGAAGAGTAGACTCAGAGTTGTCTTAGACTGGTGATATTGAACTATTCCAAGATTTGTTGTTATTCGCGAATTTTCAATAATATCGTTAATCAATTGTTCGATATTATTTTTATTCCTACAAACATAATCAATTTTTTTTTGGACCTTTTTTCTGCAATTGGATACTGACGGGTATAAAAATATAATGATTTTATAATCACGCAATTACACAAAATATCACAATGTAACGGAATACACGAATTGAACTAATTATCCCACTTATGGGATTCTAACGGGGCTTACTATTCTAGCGACGCCACAGTCAGCACTGTCTCACGAAAGTATCAACTCGCAACTCTATTCTCTACTTTCGACTCTCGACTCTCTCCCTATCTTCCAGAGCGGGCCCTTTTAAGCCCGTCTGGAATGCAGAGACACCTTCCCCGAAGGAGGAGAAAACTCCCCCACGTAACGCTCTGAAGAGGAAGGGATTCCTCCTTTGGGTTAGGCTCTTCCTAGGGTCACCCACGCGGGGACCCTTCCCGAGAGGTGCCCGCGGACGCTTCACCCCCAGTTTACGATGGGGAAAAGTGGGGTTGCGCGAAGCTACCTCACGCGGCCTGGCCCCGACTCCCCGAGACCCATCTGGCCGCCAGACTCTAACGGGGCCTCTATACCTGCGAGGTCTAACGATATCCTACATTCTTACAACAAGAAGTTTCAATCGATAGATAAGACACTGTATGCGATATACACTTACTGACAAAAATTAAGATAGATAGTCATAATAAGATAGCATTCCATACATTAATAAACTATGATTTTTGTTTTTTAATATACTTACAAACAAAGTACTCACAATAAGTTGAAGTCATAATGTAAGAAAACATATGCCGAAACACTTAGTTCCCTTTCTGACATCGCTCAGTCTAGTTCATATTATAGATTGTGTTAAATATGACAAGAAGGCAACATTTAACAGACGCTGAAAAGCTGAGAATCGTTAAAATGTTTAAGAAGGGGAAGAAAAGAATTGACATAGCAAAAGTGTTTAATGTGAATCCTTGCATTATCACGAAGATTATAAAATCTTTCGGTTCTCGCGAACTGGCAGACTGCGAAACATAACTGAAAATCTAGATCATCGAATTGCAAGGCTCTCGAAGTCGAATCCATTCTACACTGTTCCTGAAATTAAAAATCAACTGAGCCGGGAAAACATTCATAGCAGGACAGTTAGCCGTCGTTTATATATGAAAATAATCTCTTTTCACTCAAAGCATGCAAGAAACCACTTGCGTGGAAGAAAAATAGAGCAGCTCGGTTGGAGTTTGCTAAAGAACACTTTAGTTGTACAACTACTAAATGGTCAAAAATTCTACGGAGCGACGAGACTAAGTTCAACTTGTTTGGAAATGACTCTAATAATAATGTGTGACGTCATACTGGGCAGCAATTTCATGTTAAATACCTAAAACCGATAGTAAAATTGATGGCGGTAATGTAATGGTGTGGGGTTGTTTCTCGCGTGGCCCTGATTAATAGAAATAAAAGAAACAGTGGATAGATATGTGTATTGCGACCATTTGCCAATGAAAATATTTTATCAGGGTGGTCATTTCAACGCGATAAGAACCCCAAACATTCTTCTAATTTAGTTAGGATGTTTCTTGCAGAACAAAATGTTAATCTAATCAAGTGGCCAAGTCAATCTCTCTAGACTTGAACCCAATTGATCATCTGTGGGATTACGTTCGACGTCAATTGGAAAGTCATTTTTTTACCAATAAAACAGATTTAATGGAAAAAATCACGATAGTATGGTTAGAAATACCGGCTGAGTTTGATGCTCGATTAATTGAATCAATTAATCGAATTAACCACGCAGATGTCACGCAGTTCTCAAATCTAAGGATTATCCAACACCTTATTAGACTGTTATGAAAATTACAGGTATCTGCATATCGTTGTTTTTATTTAAAGTTATCATATAAATTAAATAAAATATGTTTCTTAACTTATGTCACGCAGCTTGTGTCTTATTTCTTCGATTCAATTTAATTCTGGCCCTTGCACAAATATGTTCGGAAAAAAGAACTCGTTGTTTATTGATGTATGGAATGTTATTTTATTATACTATTTTTAGCTTCAACCTATGTGTCCTAGAAGATAGGGAATATTTCGAAATTTCCAAATGATTACGTTGTTTCTTAACATTTGTCAGTAAGTGTATGCGTAACAGTAATCCGCTACATTATAGCCGAGTGACTAGACAATGTTTAAATGTTTCCCAGATCTTTATTTACGAAGTTCACATAATTTCAATTTAAAATTAGTTGTGTACGTACTATCAACTGAAAATGTTGAAATACCAAGGTTCGCGATTCTGAACTTTTCAAAAAGTTCAAGAAACACGAAAGATCATTCAGAGGATAACTAAATCAGTGACAAGACGTCTACGCACTTGTCAGAACTTGTCTTGAAATCTAAGATGATCATTTTTAGCATGCCTTGTAATTAGATAACGCAAAATAGAAAATTTATTCTATCGCATAAGCAAAAATAGATAGACTCATACGTTTATATGAATTTTTTCATCTTTTTTAAGTCTACTATCAGTTCCTAAAGTAAGTTTACATATTACATATAACATATTACATTACCCTGTATATTCAGGCTGATCCTCTGGTTACGAATCTTAAAATCGATTGTATTAGTATGTGGGAGATGTGATTCGGGGGACCGATGAGACTCGGGTTAAAATTAGAGAAGCTTTCTTGTCTTAAAAAGTTTATACTTCACACATCGATCTCTTGCTCGGTCGGGAGTCTTCTACGAATTGGACTCGAGTCACGCGTGCGGAGGTCTCCCTCTGCAGATGCTTCGCGCTCTCGATCGTTTTATGACGATCCGTCTGTCGGCGACCGCTTCGACCCGATTCTCGACGATTTTCTTATAAGAAAAGCATTGCCGACACCGTATAAGCATCGAGAACACCGTATTACGGGCTTCACCTCATATACAAATATCACTTTGCTACTGTGCTCGTAACAGTCGGATATATGTATATACTTACATATGTATATACATTATGGTGGACCTACCTTATTTTTGACAGAAACTTTCGAAATTTTATATGGACGATAAAAATCGTCGAAATTTTTATGTACGACCCTCTAAATTTCTTCTACGTGATGTAATAATTTCTGCAAAAAGCGAGTCAATAAAATAAAATAAAATAATGGAAAATGGTGCCACAATTGACTATAAATTTGGAAATTTCAGTAACTTTACTCCAATCCTCTCTGTAATCCTATTTTGAAGTTTTTAACGAAGAATGTCTTAAAATATAAAACTCACTGTTCCTTGCAAGCACGGTTTTAGCTACGATAATTACCGTATATCTGGAAACTTTTTAACTATTCGACTGATTCTCGGAAATTTTTCTACTTATCCCTCCTCAAAAAGACTTTTTCTGTTTGTATAGTCACAAACCTGACTATAAAGGAGATAGGAATTCGCTTCAGCTTACATCAAAAGTTCGTACTGTTTGCATCCCAAGTTATATAGTAAGTAGAGTAAGACGGGAACTAAAAATTATTTTGTAATACGCGCAACATTAAGTACCATAAACATTAATTAATTCAATAAGTAATGCAACGTTGCAAAAATTGTGCAACCAAAAATTATAGCACTTGTCACCAAGAAGACTATCTATCTTCAAGTCCAGTATCGTTATAGAAATGAGGAAAAAAGTGGTTCGAGCACTCTAAAACGAATGCGAACAAAATTGAAACAAAACCAACTAACCGCCCGAAAGATATAAAAGTCTTTTTACATGAAATAAATATAAATTTTTTAGTTAAATATTCAGCGTTTTGGGAAATGTAACTAATTTTATATTTAATAATAAAAAATTTAAGATAACATAAGAGATTATTAATGAAGATTAACTATCGTATCAATTAAATTTTATTATCGTATATGTGATTTATAAGCAACATTAAGAAAAAATTTGATTTTCATGTTTTCCCAGATTATTTTCATACGAAATTATACTACACCATGACACTAATCGATGGCAACAAATTCTTTTCATTGTTAACGAATAAGCTTTTCTGCTACGATACGCTATAATTATGCAGACTTTAGTCCAAAATAACTTCCAGTAATCAAATAACGCGATAAAATCTGTATTTTCCCATTTTCAGCGAAATTTAACTCTTTTTTTGCATAAACAAAGCCGTTTTGTGTCACGCGTCTTCTTGTTATCCAATTAACTTGATTTTATCGTAAAAATGATTTCTTCCCGAAATGGAAGTGGTAGTCGAACAATTAAAATTTTGTACAAATATTTGACCAAGGATAATGAAGGTCTACCCTAATATATATATAATAATAAATATAATATTAACGATATAATATATAATAATAAACGAGGAAAAGAGAATGACCATCGCCATTCAAGTAAAAAAGCGATATCAATCTATGAAGTTGTGGTAAGAGTTTTATATATATATATATATATATTATATATATATATACATACACGTTTTACCTAAAAACGCATATAATAATAAACGAGGAAAAGAGAATGACCATCGCCATTCAAGTAAAAAAGCGATATCAATCTATGAAGTTGTGGTAAGAGTTAATTGAAAAATGAGACAAATCTAATATTTCTGTGGTAATGCTTTCCGTTTGTTGCATAAGTGTTACTTTTACATACATACCCACGTGATATCTGGACCATTTGGGTGTAAACTCGGATGTGGATTAGGGTCAGTTAATCCAAGAGATTGTAAAGCTCGTATGGTACTACAAAAGCCTTTAAATCTTAATGTACCTCGTATCATTGTGTTAACAGCATTGAGTCCATATAAATCTTTATAAATTATACTATCTCGGTTTGGAAAACCTTCCAATGCAAAACCAGGTAAAAAGTCCAAGTCTTGAACGGTATCCATAAGACCACCTCCTGCTGTTATTTCTACAACCTATAAAATCAAAATGAAATTTGCTAATTTATTACAAACTTTAATGTTTAATTGTACATTTCTTATAACTTTTTCTTTCATTGTAACGATGGTAAAATAAATTGTTAATGATAAAATAAAGGAGTAACATTAAATGCTTTATTTTCGAGGTACACCGTTTCAGAGTTTTTTTATTAAAGGAAATGTTCTAGTAATATTTATGGTAAACGCGAGTAACAAAGAGTAAATTGAAGGTACTTAATCGTAATAAAATTTATCATAAATAATGTTTATATATAAATGCCACGTGGAAAATTAAAAATTAAAAATTTGACTGTCGAATAGCAATGGAAGAAAGGAGGTGAAGTTCTCGCCTCAACAAACAGCGATATTCTGCTCATTCTTCGTCACATTTTTGTAGTTATTCAAGAAGCGAGATTTTCTCGTTTTTCGAATTTTTTTCAAAGAAAATTCTACGAAGAAGGAAAAAAGAAAGAAAATATTCCGAATCACTACGTTTCTAGGAAAATCCGGTCATTTATCATGCAACCGTTTTATTATCCCTGTATGCGTTACATCCTTCTGTTCGATAATAATCAAAGGAATCGATTACGGTTTATTACAAAAGCATTAACAAATAAACGTATAAATAATATATCCTTCAAGCAGATATAAATAAGATCATATGCAAGTGCTTACATATTCGTCAAATGTTCAATATCGACTTTCTCGAAAACGAAGTTTCGAAAATAAAGCGTAAAAAGATGTGAAAAACGTGAAAAATTTTCGATTTACTTTTTCGTATAGATTCGCTACTATTCGGCTTATACAACCAGTTCGAGGACACCCTGTATATACTATCGGCCAAGAGTTTGGTATCATTAGTAGTAGATTTTGTAATGATCAATCGTAAATGCATCGAAATATGGCAAATATTAACAAGTTAATTTACATCTATAATAGTCTCGTGTCATAACATATCGATGTTACATACGAAGACAGTACTCTTTCTTGGACTCCCTTTTTATATATTTCAATCTAGCTAATTGGTTCTATCAAAGAGGCAGATTATTCTTTGTGAAATACTGCAAGAAAATTGAAATGTAAGAGTCATGCACAATCAACCTCCATGTCTAAAATTCCATATATAGATATAAAGCGTATATTATCGGTATACGCTAAATGCAGACGAATCAAGAAATTATGTATATACAATAATATCTTTTCTCCACCACTGTACTTACATAATTCAATGTCCAAATAGAAGCGATGTTAGAAGGTAGCAACAGAATTTCAGAACGTAAATTATCGATTTTTCTAAGATTTACCTTCGATATAGTTTCGAAAAACATATTCAATACGTGTATATATTTTTAGAAAATATATGTCGACGAAATGAAAACAACTGTGAAAGTTTGAAGTGAAAAACATTTGCCCATCTCAAAAACTACCAAGTATAAAGAGATATAAGGATTTGCTTTAATACAAGCATTGCTTGTTTTCTGATTGTCAAATTTTGACATAAATATATCGAATTTAGTACAGAATTAGAATAATTCGGAAATATTAAAATTTGTTGAAATATTTTAAAAAACCGACATTTATATAGCTAAATCTTGGTTATTTTGAAAAAATTTTTCCTTACAAATAAAATAGAGTAGAGCTTTCTAAATGTTAGTAATTTAGTTACATATCCGTGAAAAATTGATAAGATATATACCCGAGCATAGTTGTACTTACTTGTTTATCATAATAGAATTTCGCTGGTGCCAAGGTATTTAATAGTACTCCTCGCGGTGACCAGCTAAATTTATAACGTAAAGGATTAGAAGAACATTCTGGAGCAGGTAAACCTCCACACCAGGATATAAAAGATTCTATCTTTCCACCAGCTTGCTTGACATTGTCGAAACATTCTAAAGCCAGTAAATGATCGATACCAGGATCTAATCCTATTTCATTAAGTATAGTTACATCTGCTGCTACTGCCCTAGTAATCAATATATTAACACATTTATAATATCTCTATAATAATGGTGATTAACAGTAACAGTGATATGTTAAAATATTTTTCTTGATATTTGTGCAAATTATCACTTACTCTGCATGTAAAGCTTTAACATCTTCATTCATGTAACTAGCTGTTACTAAATGAGTTTTAGCATGTATGCATGCATTTGCAACGACGTGATGTAGAGTGTAAGGTAGCAACGAAACCACCACATCCGCTGGTTGAACAATATCGTTTAATATATCAGGCCGTTCAACTACGTTTAATAAAACTGCTTCTACACCAGGAAAATTATTTGCTAATACGTCTGCCTCCTCCTTCAACTGAGATGCAACGATCAAGTGAATGTTACTATCTCTATGTAAATATTCAACCAACGGAGCAGAAACGTGTCCAGCACCAAGAACAACAACCTAGTTACAAAATAATGCATTTCAATATATCATAAGATAATTCATTGCTATTGGTTTATTTATTACTTTTTTATTTCTAAATTACTTATTTATTATGTGGAAATGGTGAGCGTGGCGTGATTAGGGTATAAGGTCACCGCCTGAGACAGTACCACTTGTGTAGGTATGACGGTAGAGTGCATGAGAACGCTTGGGCCGTTCCTCGAAAATAGAGGATAATAAACAGCGATCGCGCGTTTGGCTCCAGCCTTCTGACCGTTATGTGACATATTTATGGTAGTGTGGAATGCAAGTGAAGAGCGAAATGCATCTGAGTGTTTACGACACGTGACCTACCGAGGGCAAGGCTGTGAGGAGTGCGTGAGAAGACAGAATGCAAGGGTTAAATAAGGGTGCAAGAACATGACATGGGACAGTTCTTTGAAAAATAGTCAGTGCGAAAGTCGTAAGCTTAGAATAAGTTAGTTTAAAATAAATTATATTTATTATTTACCACGATCGTTTTACTGCCACCTAACAATCTTACAATTATTGTAATTATTTGTCATTAATCTGTGACACTTTTATTTTATACAGCAGTAGTAAAATCGCATTCACGTTATTAAAAGTAATGCATATAGAAATAATGATTTGGATATATTTTTTGGGAATAACTTAAACAAACATTTAAAACACAATTGAAACAATCCTGCTGGCAAATAACATTTTTCAATAATTTATCAACTTCAAAACCGATGCGATTTTAACAAACAAATGAAAGTCTTTATTTCGACGTGGATAATAAAACATAACTATCCATTATGTTTAAAAGAAAACGATATTAATTTAAAAAGTTTCAAAATATTAATTAATTTGAAATATGTCTTATATCTATTTACTGATATCATCGTTTCTTCCTTTCGTCTGAATACCGTTATTTGCATTACAAACTAAATTATAAACGAAGTGTCGAAAATGATCAAACTGGTAACATTATAAACTTATTAGTATAATTTTATTTCTATTGCTTGATCGCTCAAATGACTTTCCAGTTTCTTTTTTTTCTTTTTCTTTTCATTTTTTTTATTAGGTTTGGAATGATCTTTTTTGGAATTGACATATAGTTAAAGAATCGAAATGATCTGCTAAACTAACAATAAGAGTCATAATCCAAGACGATTTAATGGTAAAGGGAAGAAGAATATGTTATATAAAATTTACGAATAAACGTTTTGCTTTAGAGTTATAACGAAATATCGTATACATAGAATAATTAAGAACTTTCCTTTCAGACTTTCCATTTCATAACACACGAAAAATTAATTTTGTTATTTTCCGACCCACGTAGATACATGTTTCCATCGCATGAAGAACTCGTGCAAAGGATTAAAAAAGAACTTTAATAAGGACATTAATTTTTAAATGAGATTTTAAAAATAGTAAGTATTTAATCATTCTTTATAATACTAACAATTTACAATATGGAATAGTTTGGAACTTTTCCAGATAATAGAAAAGATATACAATGGATGCAGAAACTATTCGTACACCGATCAATTTCAAACAAAACTTCGTGAAATGATAGTTTATTAACTATTCTTCTTATAAAGAAGGAGTTCGTACGTATTTTTGAAGGTCTGTAGAGCAGATGCAGCGTAAAAAATAATCTGTTGCTTGTATAATTTGTAAAATTAACAAGAAAAATCAAAATATCGACAGTAATATCAACAGAAAGCAATAAGTATCGGTACAGTTCCTAGTTCGAACTGTTTACAAGAGAGTTTTTAACGTAAACATTTACGTTACTACTTCATAATTATGATTGAGATAGTCAGTATGTTCAGATACGTTATCGGCATCAGCTATAAAGATTTTATGTTATTCAATATTGTCGTTGAGAAATGGGACGAAAACGTGCGGAATGGGACGGATACTATGATAGTAGAAAGAAAAATGATTATTAATTTACATAATCGGTGCAAAAGTTTATCAGAAAGTTCACGGGTTATAAACAGACCTCGATCTACTATAAAAAGTATAATTGATAGGTATGGACTAAGGAAAATACTGTAAAATAACCCAAGAAATGGACAATTATGGTGAACGGAAAATTAATCAGTATACTGGATGAGTTATTATCTGAAAGATAAAACAAAATACAAAAATAAGTGCAACAAAAATAGTCGAATACCTTATAAATAATTTAGACATTAATCTATCTGCTAGCACTGTGCGCAGTTTTTTACGAAGCCAAGGGTATCACGGTCGCGTGGCTGGTAAGAAATGTTTTGTAAGTCATGCGAATAGAAAGAAAAGGTTGCAGTTCGTAAATAATAATATCATCAAATCAATGAAGCATTGGAATAAAGTGATCTCTTCACGGACGCGAGCAAATTTAATATTTTTACGTCTCATGAATATATGTACTATTTGGAGTAAAAAAAAAAAAAAAATGAAGGACTGAAAACAGAAAATTTACGACCTACACTGAAACAAGTCTGGATTAGGTTGGATTTGGTTCCGTTAAATATTTGGAGCCGTACGAGTACAGCTGTTGTTGACACATTACAATTTATCGGATGGAATAATGAACCATCGAGATTACATTGACATTTTAGAATGCAACCTTTCTTCTAGTGCAAAAAAAATGGGCATTAAAGATAATTTCGTATTCGTACATGGTAATGATCCGAAGCATACTGCGTATAATACCAGAATGTAGGTATTGCATAATACACTAGCGTATCTATGAATTCCCCCACAATCTCCAGATATCAACCCCATAGAACACCTGTGGGATTACTTGAAACGTCAATTAGAAAACATCAAATTTCTTCAAAAGTAGGCTTAAAAAATATTCTCAGGGGAGGAATAGAGCAAGACCTCGCCCCGCATATTAAATTTACTTAATTCAATACCTAGAAGAATTGCAACAATCATAAAATCCAAAGATCCAAATTAAAAAAAATAAAGATCCAAATTTCAAGTGAAGTATTAATTAACTGTTTACGTTAGTTTTTTTATCGTCAAATTAATTTAAATTACGCTATTCTTACGAATTTTAAAAAATTTAGCAATTGTACGAATACTTATTGCTTGTATTGTACATTTCTGTCGATTTTCTCTTTTTTCTTGCTGATTTCACAAATTTTACAAATAACAGACTATTTTTTGCACTCGATCTAGTCTAGAGGTCTACAAGAATAAGTACAAACCCACTGTTTATAAGAAAAATTGATAAATTATCATTTCACGAAGTGTCGTTTGACATTGATCGGTGTACGAATACTTTCTACGCCCACTGTACGTAACTACCTACACAGATCAGATAAACACGATCAACTTTGTCTGTGCTGTTGCGAATACGTTACTTATTCTACTCGTACTGAATTCGTCTCTATCTCTGAAGCGAAGCGTTTATTCGCATGCCTTATATTGTACAATATATGTAACATTACATCCTATAGTATAGTATAGTATGTCAGGAAAGTAATCATATCCCTCTAAATTTCTAATTTCAAACAACTGTCATTATTTCATAATAGGAGCTTCAAAATCGTTCTCATATTTTCATCAATGAAATTGTTTATTGCGTGTAACTCAGTGAAACGTCAAAACAAAATGGATTCGTAAAAATTAATGTTTCAATTGCCGTAAACTTGTATGCCAGTGAATACCTTTATGGCATTAGTTCCGTGGCTGTTTATATTTTCTTATACGCTAAACTTAATTTAATTATTTTGCAACAAAGTTTGTACAAATTGAAAGTTTCATTGATAAAGCATGTTTTCTTATTTATAAGAATGTTAAAATTCGTGTTGTAAAACAATAGCAACTGTTTGAGATCATTAACCGGAGTAGTATGAATATTTCTGTGACTATAATTATAATATCTGACTAAAACACACGTTAGACTTCACTGCAAACTTAAAACAATGGATTTTTGTGAAAAAGAAATAAATACCTTGTACATAAATAAATAACTTACGATTAGTAGACTAATTTCTAATAAATTAATAGGTTAACTAATATAAAAGATAAAAATTCGCAATTTTTAACTGAACATTTTATAACAATCGATAACCACTTGGAATGACATCAAATGTTTCATAGAGGTGTTATTAAGGATAACGAAGTGATAATTTGTCTGAAATTTTATGAAAAATTTGAAAATTTATTTGAAAAATATCAAGTTTTCATACCGTTTTGCTTTGTGGTTCTCTATTATCCGCTTTATGTCTACAACGTTGATTCAATAGTCTTAGATCTTGAATGTACTCAAAATTGGGTGTTAACTGTCCATTGGATGCTATTATCGCGCCATGTACTGCTGGGCTAAAATTATGTTTCTCGAGTGGCATTTTGGCATCCGATTGAATAATGTCCAACGCATAAGGATATAAAAGATTCCCAAAGAAGTCTGTAGATTCTTTCGGTAGCTGAGTTGGCATATTGTCAATTGAACAGACTAATACTCCAGGCCCTTTAAAAGACTTTGTATCCTTGTTACGATCAGCATCGTATAAACAAAATGGTGTGTCAATTGTTGTACATTCGTTCATGAACCTATAAACATTTGAAAATAGAAAGAAACTTTCAAATTGATGTTTACGTTGATTAAAATATGATATTAAATAGGATGGATGATAAGCAGAAATATTTCCCAATCTGTTAATTTTATACTTTACCTTCATAAACTAATTTATCGTTCACGTTTTATCATTTTTAGCAGTAGCTAGAAAAAACCTATATAGATGCAAATGAATATCAATTTCTTTGACATGAATAATTTGCTGCTTTTACACTTTGTATTCTTCTTTTCACGATAGTAGAATTCATTGTCTACAATTGACAAAGGATAGTTGACGAAGTATGTGATGCTTTAGAAGAGACGTAATCAACGTACTACTTTACAGGATAAAGTGAAATTCTTAAATTCTATATTCATATATTCATATATCTTTAAATAAAACATTGTAGAATTTTTCATAATTCGTCGTACTTTTTTGCATGTTTTCGGAGGCTTCGAAAGTAATTTGGAATATCTGGAATATTTTGATGAGAATTTTTTATGAGAACGTATAACATGAACTTGTTAGTAATTGCGAAATAAACACGAAAACGGACAATATTTTATAAAATACATACATTTATGATTTATGATATACCTTTTACGTATAATGGAATCAAGGAACAATCGAGGTCAGTAATTACATTTCATAAAAAAAATTGCTATTTCATTTACTTTAATTTAAGTTCATTAGTTGTCCGAATATTTTTATGATATGAAAATTAATTTTCCTCGTATATTTCTTTTTTCCCTTTTTCTTTTTAAATATTAAAACAACCGTATGTATTAACACAAAAGTTTGTTACACTCTAAAATTTAATGTATTATGCTTCGACATTGTGTAAAACATTCTTGTTCATTCGTGTCTATTTATTGTTGAAATATTGCTACTCCAATAGGAATAGCAGTCGCGCGCTACGCTTTAAAGCTATACCAACTTGCCGAATGTTCTATGACACAAATTCCAGGAAGACTTACCTATACTCTGTATAGGTTAAAAAAAAAAAAAGAAGAATGTCTATTGGAGATATGGAACATAGAACGCAATATCAGTGTAAAAATATTTTATAACCAATTGTATATGTTCCCTAACAAATAAGGCGTTGAAAACTATTCTAAAGCAAGCAAGTTTAGGAGTAACCTAAAATAAACCTAGGAGTAATCCTAAATCACCATAGAAAATAATGATGTAAAACATTATTTTATGCGAAATTGATTTTTCGACATAAAACGATTAATTTTCACCTTTAACTGTCTTTCATTGCCTTTTCATGTACGAACGTGATTTAACTACATATTGTTAAAATAATATAATGTTTAAATGATTGGAAGCTATATATAAGCGGATTTTAAATTTATAAAATCGTTTTTATTACTGCACATTGTTAAATAATTTCGATAAATTTAGATAAATGTAGTTAATTTATTAATTCTGCAATAACATACAATATTTCTGAAGAAAGAGGCAGTCCAAATAAATAAATAGGGATAGCAGATAGGTAGAAAAGCCGATTAATAACAAATGAAAATCTACAAGGACACGATGACAGTGTGCTACTGCTACGATATTATGGGTAATTACCTTAAGCCTTTCACATGGATCAGGGACAATAAACAGGCCTCGGGTTCAGGTCGAACGTTCAGTCTTTTAGTTTATACTTTACTTCTAGTCTGATTTATATATAGCCTCATAAATATATATTTTAGAATAAAATAACATCACTTATTCTTTATATTGCATTTTCCAAACAGTATCCCTACATACTCGAAAGAGTATCTCGAAAGTATTTCGAAAGAAATTTCTATAAGGAATATTTCGGAACAGATTTTTCAACAACCACTACCATGACCCTAATTATCCTTGCAATTACTTTCACTCAAAAAACGAAAAAGAAAGGTAAATATGCAGTTTAGTGACTTTGCCTTAAACGCGTCTTCTTTTCCGGTTTTTTCATAAAAGGCTTTATTTGTGCCTTAATAAGAAATATAGATCGGGGGAGCTTGAAAAAGTTACTAGTTTTTTTAACAAGAAACATAAAATTGTTAAAATCTGCAGAATGCGTGAGTCGATCCTTATGATTTTTCAACACGTTGTAGAGAACGAAATTCTGAACACCTTTTATCTGAACAATAATTGTCGCTTGGTCTTAATTTCCGAGATATTTGCAAAAATTGTTCACACTATCACATTGACTTCGCCTGTACGTGCGCCGTGGACGTGTCGGATGGTTTTCAAAGGATTGCTTATCATTTTCTTCTATAAACAAACTCCGGCGAGCGAGAGAAACAGGACTAGGCAGGTGAGCGTATATAACGGGTGGAGAAAAAGATTAAATTTAATTAATTTCAATAATATGTCAATCTAGAGTTTTTTCATATATTAACTAAACTGGTGTGGTGTCGCAATCGCTCCGGGCCGCAAACGGCCCTTCGCTTGTAGACGACAACACAGTCTAACCTAACAACTCTAATCCATTATTTTTAATTTACTGATTAATAATAAGATAGGTTTGACTTAATCAAGTAATTGGGGTAGGTTTGGGTTAGACTTATATCCCCATATAAGCAGAAGTCAAAAATCGAATCTTTATTAAGTCTTTATTAAGGATTAGATCGCTTGATGGTTGGGGTGGTGTAAGGGACTGCGAGTTTGAGAATGAGTCTAGGGAATGAACATAGCTTCCTAGGCGTCAAGCAACATGACGAATAAAGCCTTTTGTGAATAAACCGGAAAAAAAGACGCGTTTAAGGTAAAGTCACTAAACTGCATATTTACCAAAAGAAAAAATAATTGTCGATCATTGTGTTTATTTTATCGATATGACTTATGCTTACACAAATTTAAAAATTCCACGAATAATACACACAAATTCGTTAACGCTAAAATTTCCAAACTAATGTGTACGTAAATGTAATATATGCACATAGTGATAATTAGGGATATAAAGAAACTAAATATGTACGTATGATTACCTTAGTCTTTGGTAACTACAAAAACTATGTCTAAAATAAGGTATATCAGCTGCTTCGATTATTCTAATATTTTAACATGGGCTTTGCAAATCCGAGCATATCCCCTACATCCCCTTTTGTCGTGTTAATATAACTAAACATTTTATTTCATTTTTAAGCTTACACTTTTCTAACGGAAAAACAAATAAATGATAGTAATGATATTATTAGAATGGTAAAAAAAACAGTGATACAAATAAGCGTATATGCTCCTATATTTTTATTAATAGTCGTCATTGTGTCTACTTAGTTGTTCAAATCCTACGAATCGAATAGGAGCAATTTTTAAGGCTTGATTTAATGCTGATTTAAAATAAAAGTAATAAAAGCTAAAGTAAAATTTGACACCGGTGATATCTTTTATATATTTGCAATACGATAGCGACCATATGTGTATATTGTACAATATTTCTTCGCAGAATACATCTGGTTATCGCTAACGTATTGTATAATCTCGATAAGAAACGTTATATGGGCATAAAAGTCTAAAAATCAAATATCGTTGAAAAATTATACGATTGTACATATGTAAAGATAATTCAACGATAACATATGTAAACGAAAAATACAATAACAGTCAGACTAGGATAACCTGGAACTGAAAATGTTTCTTGGAATATATTCGTTTGTGGATATCATTCAAATTACGTATGAAATATATTTCGTAGCATTACAACTAGATAGATATAATTACACGGGGTATTTAAAGAATATGATGGAAAAGTTGAAAAGTTTATACTCATCGAAAGGATGGAAAGGAAGAAATATTTAAACACCGTACGTTTTCGACTCAATATCGACTTTTAGCGTTGCGCGAATATCCGATGCCGTGAGTGCGCTTTCTCGTAACATACTTGCGAGTGTAAATAGAGCAATTAGTTTGGAAACATATTAATTTAAACTTCTTAGAATCACCTAACTCGAATGCCTTGAATTTCTCTTTGAAGACCTTTAAAACTCTTTTAAAACTCGTTCATCGTTCATATATATGATGGTAGAATTGTGACAACGAATAAAAAATACAAAAGAGAGGAGTATATTGAATACTTCTTGTATATCGTAAGAAAGAAAGTTTGTACTGCATTTATTGCTATGAACTAGTCTTTTATCGATATTGACGATAATTTTGTTAACAAACTTGAACTACAATATTCTTAAACTAATTCTTCTATTTACGTTTAATAGGTTGCGAAGAAACTCACTCGCGATATCGAATATTTGTAAATATTTGTAAATATTTGTAAATGACAAAAGAAGATTTTACGCTAAAAGGTTCGATTTCAGGGTTATCGTTGATTGGACATTTTTTACTCCTTTCGGTGTTTAATATAAACCTTTCAACTTACGCATCCTACTTTTTCAATATCTTGTAAAGGTAATCTATTCTAAGTAGGGCATTCGGTGTAAGATAAATCTAATGCGAATAGTCATTTCCTGTATCGCAATTAGGTCTGAATTACAGCATATTACATCTAAGCGAATTACATCTAAGTTAATATTAATAAAATAATTAATCTTACTCGATACTTCCACCGGGATCTGCAGATATGTCACAGATCGCTAATATTCTGTGAGGTAAAGCAGGAGCACCGACACTTGCTGGTAACCAAGGAGTATAAGCTGGTCTTAGCAGGTATTTTGCATCTGGTATAGTTAATAATTTAGGCGAATCAACAGCCCAATATATTCCATTAATTATCACCGATGCGTATGGCGCAATTTTTTGGCTGAAAGTGGAAATATATCTCTCAGGGTGCTTGTCACACTCATCGGAATCGAAACCACCTCCTTCTTTCCTCTCTAGATGATGTCTTCGTCTTATTTCGCATCCATATATCTTCGTTGTGTCTAAAATAGTTTTTCCTTTTTGTTATTCTTTACAATGAACATGTACTTAGATAGATGCAAACTATACAGAATAAACACCGAAGAAATTGTATGTTGCTATGAATAATAAGAACGTGAACTTGAATCGAAGTTCAAAGCAGATCTTGTGGATACTTTGCAAATATATGTACATAGTACATCGGAAAAGTTGTAGTCGAACCTTTACTTGCTATGATCGAAGCAACGCATATAGAAAACGTAACACAAATATTACTTGCCTATTCACAAAAAAATGTGCTATGATTATTTAACTATAGAAGAAAAGAAAAAATTCCTCTATCCTAGACGTGAACTAATTTTACAACGATGAATTTTTTTTATTGTTCAACGATGATTTAAAGATTATAATCGTGTGAAATTGCTCGGATAGTTAAATAGAAATTATCGAATAGAATACATACATCGAATTAGAAAGTGACAAAAAAAAGTTTTCCTGACAGAATGAAACAAATTTAAGTATTAATTTCGATACATTTTTTAAAAAATATCGTTGAAAATGATGAACACGTCATTAAATTATCACTGTTATTACTTATTAGTATATACCGTTTGGAAATTTTTTTCAAGATAAAACGAAATGCATGGAAAATAATTAGAATTGATTACATGGATCGCAAAAGTTCTTATATGATTTAGATCAAATATTTCCTGATTTCTGCGATTTTCCTTTCTTTTTTTTTTTTTTCAATTTAATATCAATTTCGGCCATTATAAGAATATATTTAGAAAAACAGTCTCGTTTTCAACGAGCGAGTAGAGCGAATGTAGAAAAGTATGGAGATATAAGGGAGGGTCGGAGAAATTAAAGGAATGGAAAATTTGAAGAGAAAGAAAAGAAAGAAAAGCGGGAAGGAGGAAAAGAAGGTGAAAGCGGTGAAACGGTTAATAATGGAAGAAGATAGAACAAAGAGAGGAAAGAAAAGAGATGAAATGGATAGAAAATAGAAATAACTTCTCATGTAGAGAAGTTAGAAGAAAAAGGAAAGGAGAATGAAAGATAAAAACAAATGAAAGTGGGAAATGGAGCAGAGGATGAGCAAAGAAAGGTGCAATACAAGATAGAAAGGATATCGAAGGAGAAAAAGTAGGAAGGAAGACGAGCCTGGATGAACTATCAAAAAATATGTAAAGAAGAAGGTGGAAATTGTATATACGAGGGAGAACAAAAACTCATGGAACGAACAGGAAAAAGCAAGAGAGAGGATTATATTATTCTGCTTAAAAAGTTCGTAGAATTACATCAACAAAATTCGGTTATTCAATTTTCTTCCAATTGGATGGTATTCCCTTCGAGTAATCCCCTTCCGAATATATACACTTGTTTCAGTGGCGTTTCCATTGCACAAAGTAGTGCTGAAAATTTTCACGTGAAACGATGCGCAGAATTCCCCTCGTTTCCACGTTATGGTTTCATGTCGTCCAAATGTTTTCCTCGCGTGACATTTTTCATCTTTTGAAATAAAAAATAAAGTCACACGAGACTAGGTCAGGTGAATACAGAGAAAATTTGATTTTTCCAGCCAATCTTCGTAACATTGAACACGTTTCAATGTTTGGTTCGCCACGAGGAACCATAGATAAATCCTAGCACCAACTTTTCGCATCTTTAAATCATTTGTTAAGATTGAATAAACACTTCCTAAACCGATGCTAAGTTCTTCGGCGATGATCCTGTCAATAACTCGCTGATTTGACAAAATAAGTTTATGAACACGTTCAATGTTGTCATTGGTGTTCGAAGTGGAAGGTCTTCCTTTTTGAAACTTTCTCATCCATTTGTCAGTGGTTTCTGGTTTCATAGTACTCTCTCCATATTCTTCTTTTATATCGTGTATATTAACCACTTCGGTTCCCCTTTTCCCAAGTTTCACGAGAAATTTCGCATTAACGCGTTATTCTGTAAAAAGATCACCAAACATTTTTCAAGGTGTGTGACTGCCGAAAGAAACATGGGCATATCGAAGACGTTGCCATAAGAGAACGGTTTATCTCAGACTCGTGAAATTTGATATATTTGTAGATAATACGATAAACTGCGTTCCGTGTTAATGAGATGACAGTAAAAGTCTCATTCCATGAACTTTTTAAACAGAGTAGTAAGTAATTACACAAATGAAAGACTCAAAGTGGGAAACGTATTTGAAGGAAAGGCAAAAGGAAAAGGGAAAGAAAAAAAGGTGTGAAGATAAGAATGAATGGAAACTATACTTCTGAGGTATGACAAGGACAACGAGTTCTCGGATATATTGTACAATATTAAGGAAATGGAGTACTAATAGCGGTACCAACAGAGATATATGGTTAAAAGAAAAAGGCTAGCAGAAAACAAATGAAAAGCTACCAAAGGGATATACGTGAACTAATGGATGGGAAACGAAGAGAAAAAGGCAAAAAGGAAAGGTCGATGGGAGTAATCTTAGTAAGAATAATAGATAATTTAACAAGAGACAGACAGGTGGAAACAGAAGAGACAGAAGACGTAGCGAAAGAAAGAATAAAAATCAATGAAAAAGAATGAAAAATAGCAAGTGCCTACATACAAGGAAATATGGTTTTAAATTGTTCCGTCCCAGAGGTCGTGTTTATAGTATAACTCTTATTTTAATTTTCGATCATTCCAAAGACTTTATTATTTTGTATTACGACTGTAACTCCGAAGGTTAGACGTGCCTTGCAGCCCTCTCAGCGGATTGAATCATATATTTAAATGTAAAAGTACAGAAAATTTACAGCTACCAGACTGGACAGATTGAACCCACGTGCAACAGACCCACCAAAGGGACGAACAGACACCCACTTATAAATTACGTCATTGACTACGGAAGGGCAACTTTCTTGACAGTTCCTACTCCTCAACTAAAAGTCCTTCTCACATACCCACGCCCAATCAAAAAACTCTATTTTTCTTGCACTAACATGTACTTTCAACCAATCGGAATAAACTGGAGGAAAGAACGGGCAGGACACGACGAGACATTACTGGAAGCAAAAATCAGTACGTATTCGACACCCATCACCGAAACCTCTTATAAATACTATAAAACGCGTGTTCGAGACGATACTCCGCTAACGTTGACATTTAATTATTGTACACTTTAGTTACAAGAAACAACCGCATTAAACCGAATGAGACAAAATAAATAATCTTGAGAGAGAGAGAGAGAGAGAGAGAGAGAGAGAGAGAGAGAGAGTTACACAAAGTTGGAACATATTTCTTATTGTCTGTAGAGTACAATACATGTTGGAAACGGCAGTATTTTTCGAAAGAGATTTTGAAAAAAAAGCATTCCTGAAAGAAATTACCTTTGCATAAGTGCATATCTATATGTGATCGAAGTGAGCAAAACTTTGTCCAACGAATTTTCTCTGTTTTACTGAAAACTTCGAATTTCTGTCAAAACACACGATCATTGGCAAAAATAACATATTACGAAAGGATTCAACATATTAGAAAGCTCTAATTGGTTCGATGTAGATGAAAGGGAAGATACGAGAGGTATTTCTGAATATATCGGAGTCTATAGCCATACAATATACTTTGTACTTCTCAATTGTAAATTGCAAAGATACATTAAAGTTTAAAAAGATCGCCTGGAGAATATTACAAAAAAGGATTCATATTTGATGGCATAGTTAATAAAAAAAGAGAAATAGAAAATATACATAAGAGGAAAGAAATGTCAAAGTTATATCGGTAAAATTACAAAGTAACTCCATAATATGTGTGATATTTATAGTACATTTTTTCCGAATATGAACCATTAAAACGCTAATGTACTGAATGTAAGCAAAAGATAAGTAAACATCGCATCGAAACTCATTTTTCAGAATCATTTTTTAATTCACGGTGCTTCGCATAGATATAATTGAATCGACTTTGCGTTCAAATATTTTTCCCACCCACCAATGGTGCATGTTTATAACAAATATGGAGAAATAGCATATATCGCTATTTCTCCATAGAGAGAAACAAATTTTCAATTCGTGAAAAGTCTTCCTTGCTAATATATGGATAGAAGTTGATTATTCGGAACAATTAGGAAAAGAACGTTACAAAAGAAAAGGGTAGTGGATATTTTTCCAAATCTATATACAGTAGAACCGCCGTTATATGAATTAATTGTGGGACAAAAGTGTCGGTGTACGAAAATTTTCATATAATAAAACAAAAAACCTTTAGTAATTGATTTCATTTAATATGCAATAGAAAATGAGCACAAGTTATACAAAACCAAAGACAAAACATATTTTTCAATCTTCCTTTTGTTTGTAACAAAATTATACGAATCTATCTTAAGGATCGGAAATTTTTTTCCCAGCCAAATCATATATATCATTTCTTCGATACAAGTAATTCTGCAGTATTACCTTATTATTTAAAGCAATTTGCAAAGTAATGTTATCGGAAGAATATGCTGGATTATTATTGTTCTGTCATAGAACAAAAGCAGGCCTAGAAAATGCCGTTACGGTCTTCCAAAAGTCGGCTCCTAAGTGCTAGAATAATTCGACTATTTTTCTATTTTTACAACGTCATCGTCGAGCACTTCGTGTTCTGGAGCACGAGATGTAATTCAATACCTGATATCGACGAAGTTAGGTGTTAAGGGGTTATAATGCAAAGAAATAGTAGCCAATAGAAACAGTGGAAAGACTGTACAGATTAAACGAGCGAACGGTTACAACTGACCTGTCTGTTTAGGGCTAGGTGAAAAGACGTCTCCAGAAAACGGGAGACAAAAGACAAAACGTAGGGGAACGAATCGCCCCTACATCGCTAGGACGTAGAATTTATTTTAGTATTTAGTTTTTACTACAACTACTAGTTTTTACTCCCCCTAGAACTCTACATTCTTATTTCACAATATTCACTCTACAATGTCTCTCTTACTTATCAGGCCTAATTTCTTACTTAAATAAATATATCTTGGTTTCGCTAATGCTTTTGTGAATACGATGCG